TGCTTTTTGCACAGCGTTAGAAGACCTCCACGACATGACCTCTGGTTCTAAAGCACCTGCTATTGTTTAAGTGTTCACATCCAGGGTTTCTTGTTGGCGAGTGTGGGGTGACTAGTGAAAGTTTTGCCTCGTTTGCATTTGTTGTGAACGCACCTTTAGTTTCCTCTGAAGAACTGAGATAATTAAAGCTCTGTTGGTTTTGGTTCTCACCATCTAATCGACAATTCTGGCAGGAACGGAGAAGGTACGGCAAGCGCAAGGTTGCAAGCACCTCCACGTGGTCAACCCCGACTGGCTATGGAGCTGCCTGGAGCGCTGGGAGCGGGTGGACGAGCAGCTGTACCCTTTAAAGGAGGATTTCTCCAGGACGCCACGGTATCAGAACCATGTTCCTGCGGCCTAAAGGAGATGTGTTAAAAGCTAAAATGGGTGGATTAAAATATGCGGTCATTTTCTCATTTCCTCTCCTATAGGAGCAGCAGTCCGGCCGCTTTCCTCGACAATCAGGGCTCCCTGCAAGCGGTTTTCCAGCCAGCTCCCGTCCATCCCAGGCCTCGAGGGGCGCCTCCAGAGGTCAGAACGTACGACTCTGTGACGGGAAAGCTCATCCGCAGGGACCCTCAGACAGGGCGTCCCTCAGCCTACCCGCAGCCGCCAGGCCCCCAGTCAGGCCTCAGGTACTGCTCTCAATCACTGGCAAGATTACATAAGCTGCTACTAAACATCTGGGAGCTTTTTCTGGGTAAAGAAACTGGATAAAACCGGTTCTTTTCTTGCTTTGATTGTTTAAGAGAGGGAAAGAAAATTATGCTTTTTTAGATTCTTTTGCAGATTTTAGCCCATAAAGCCCAGAAACAAATGGCTTTTACCATTAAACCACTTAACAGAATCATCATATAGAAAAGTTTAAACCTGCTTGAGAATCCTGAGTGTGAGATTGGCCTGTTTATTTATTTTAGGGGTGTTCCTTAAACCAGAAAAGCTCATAAAACACGATTTGGCTCCTAATTCTGTGTTAAAGTCAAACCTGTAGCATAAATATTTACTGTATGGGAAAAAAAATCTAAATGTTAGAGATCAGTGAAAACTGTGGATAAAAAAAGCCCCAAAAAAGAATCTGTTATCAGTTTTTATTGGTATCCAGTCACAGATTCCTGTCAGACTCTCCTTTGATTGTTTAACGCTGTGAAGTTTCCAAGCTGATTCCAACGGCGACTCTTTGAACCGATGGCTTTTTATATGTATAATTAATCATACAAAGTGGAAAATTGTCCTGTTTTATTTTAGGATTAGAGGCACAATTAGGTTTCCAGTGAGCTGTGTTAAAACGAACAGAATCATCAAAGAGGATGGGTTCAGTTAAACACAGCCTGAAGGCAGCAGAGATGTTTCTGTAATGCTTATATTTGGCCTCCCAGTCTCTGCTCTTTCCTTCCACCTTAACCTGCCTGCTTTGTTGCTTTGGATGCTGAAAGCTATCTGTGGCCATTTTGAGTTCTGCTCCCAGGCGTCGCCCCGATTCATCCCTCTGACACAGAGAGAGAGAGAGAGAGAGAGCGGTTCAGGAAAACAACAGGATAAGACACAAAAAATACTGCTTCTAACTTCATACATGCAGTATTAGGTGTTTATTTCTTTCTATTATTTAACAGATTGTTCAGTCACTGAATATTAACATATTAAATAAAAAAATGTATCTTTTCAGGCTTTAACCAAATTGACAGATGGAGCATTTCATTAAATTGAATTTTTTTTTTCCAGGGATCCTATACTGTGTGGAAAAAAAAAAAAACACCAGATGTGGTGGAGTCCCTCTTACGACGGAGTGTTAGGGCCAGAAGATTTATTTATTTTTTATTTTTTTATACTTTATGTTTATTGAATGTGTTTCATT